TGGCCCTGGAAGCCGCGACAGAAGCCCTGCACATAGCGCTGGATGGCGGGCGTGAGGTAGGCATCAGCACAGGCGGTGTGCCCCCGGGGCACAATGCGGACCATCGGCATGGCCTCCGAGGACAGCGACACATGTGTAAAGCCCAGCTCCCGGGCCAGTGCACCCACCTGCTGCTCGTGTTGGGCCCACCTAGTATAAGGGGCCCACAACACTGCACCGCTGATCACTTACCACCCAGCCCACTGCCCACCAGCGCCCACCTGCAACCACCCTGTGCTCACGTGTACGAGTGCATGAGCACCACAGCCAGGCTGCGGATGCCACGGGCCAGGAGTCCCTCCAGCTTCCCACGCAGGCCCCCCAGGTCCACGGGCTGCTGCACCTCCAAGAGGTCCCCTGTGCGGCCTGCAGGAAGGCCCCGCCGGTTAGAGGTGGCCAGAGCTGAGCCCACACCCACCACGGTGTTGGCCGCTCCCCACCTTTGACCGGCGTGCCAGCGCCAGGCTCGTGGCGATACAGCACCACACGCTCGTCCACCTCCAGCACCTCCTCATACAAGCCTTCAGACATGGGCACGGACTGTGGGCAGGCAGAGGCTCAGAGCAGGCCAGCCCTGGGGGGCCTGGCAGGGGCCCAGGCGGCCAGGGCAGTGCAGGCAAGGGGGTGTGTCCCAACAGGCCCATCTTCTAAGGCAGAGGGGAAGGCAGGCTCCAAGGCCTGCTCAGGGGCAGCTCCTTCCTAGAACCAGGGGTGGGGTGGGGCCAGGATGTGGTGGCAGACAGTGGGGTCCCACATGCCCACTCTGAGGGCTCAGGGCATGTATGGTGTTGTGGGGAGGGCCACAAGCTCACTTATCAGCTGGTGGCCTTGGGCCAGCCCTCCTCCGGGCCACAGTGTCAGGCACCCAGCCTGGCCACCCTCAGTGTGGGAGGACTCACCAAATCAAAGAGGTCCCCACGGGCCTGGTTGCCAATGTGCAGCAGGTCTCGGAAGCCGCGTGTCACCAGCAGCCCCACACGCTCCCCACTCCGTTCCAGCAGCGCGTTCGTGGCCACCGTGGTACCCATTCGGATGCTGGCAATGCGGCTGGTGTCCAGAGGCCAGTCCCGGGGCAGCAGCGTGCCCCCCTCCTGGGGACAGAGCTCAATGTCAGCCCTCCGTTGCCGCCCCTCCTCCCCGCCTCCCCCCGAGCCTGAGCCTGACCCACCTGCTCCAGGATGCGGCGGATGCCTTCGGTGGGTGCGTCTGCATAGTTGGCGGGATCCTCTGAGAGTAGCTTCAAGACCCGCACGTGTCCACCTGGGCACTGGGCGAACACGTCAGTGAAGGTGCCCCCACGGTCAATGGCGAAATGGAAGCGGCCCTCTGGGCTGCCCATGATGATGGCGCTGGCGTCCAGGAGCGACTCGTCCATAGGCAGCCCTGGGAGAAGAGGGACGAGACGGGCAGCTGACCTGTGAGCAGAGGCCCCGCCCCCCTGGGCAAGGTCAGCTGGGGAAAGAAGTGTGGAGAGAGAGTGGGGGGGTTCCGAGCCCGGGAGGAGAAACCCTCAGTACGACTTTGGGCGGAGCCAGAGCTGAGCATGTCGGGGTGCGGCCTGAGGCCCCCATTACCGACTTCTCCGTGGCCCTGGGCCGAAACTCTGCGCCCAGAGCAGGCCTTTCCGCCCAGTGGAGGCGCCGCTGGGCCCTGGTATCCCTCGGGTGGGGCCCTGGCTGCTTCTAGCAGGCGGAGAACACCCCCTGCCCCCTTGGGTCGCCTTCCCCCCAAGGAGTCGGGACCGCGACGGCGACTGAGCAGGGCCAGGGGGCTGTGCGGGACGTCGCGAGGGGAGCGCTGCGGCCAGCCGGGCGGGCGCCCGGAAAGGCGACGGGACCAATGCTACCGCCTCCTCCACCGGCACCCTCCCCGCACTCCTTCCCGGCGGGGCCCACCTGGCCTGCGGCTCCCCGTGGCTGGCGGTCGCT